CCCACCCCCCGGCGCCCTGCCAGCCCCGCGGTGGGATTCCCTAGCCTGCGGCCTTCTAATTCCAACCTGGGTCGGGGTCTCCGTGGTCACCGCTGCTGAGCTTCCCCGCGTCAGCTGCCCAGGGACTTTCCCTTTCAGTTTCAGGGTGGGTGGGTACTGAGCACCGCGCCTCCCGGGGAGTTTGCCACCGCGACCCCTCTCCGTGCTCTCGCCACGTATTCGCTCTGTGTAATCTAGGAAAGAGATACGGGGTCACATCGAGCGACACCCCCCAAAACCCCCCGTTGACGGTCACGGTCACGGTCCCGGTCCCCGCAGGTCTGCGAGGAGCAGAAGTGCGAAGAGGAGGTCTTCCCTCTGGCCATGAACTACCTGGACCGTTTCCTGTCTCTGGAGCCCCTAAAAAAGAGCCGCCTGCAGCTGCTAGGGGCCACCTGCATGTTCGTGGCCTCCAAGATGAAGGAGACCATTCCTTTGACCGCCGAGAAGTTGTGCATCTACACTGACAACTCTATCCGGCCCGAGGAGCTGCTGGTAACCAAGGACCCCACCACCCGCGTTCCCTCATTATCTGCATGACCCCCCCCCCGGGTGGTGGGAGCTGCAAGTGACAGGAGGCCCAGGCAGCCTCGGGTAGATCTCCAACCCCACGGAAGTCATCCACACTGCACTACACCTAAGTGGCAGTGGACAGAATCCCAAACCCATTTCACCTCTGTGGCCCCCCTCTCCTGGACTCCCCACCATGTCTGCGGTGAAGCCACTCTGAAATGTGGACGGCTTGCGCCCCCTTGCGGCGCTCGAGCCGCAGCGCTGGCGGTGAAGGGTCTTTTTGTCTAGTGCTTGTTGCCCACTCAGTCTTTCTACATTTTGTTGTTTACCTATCAGTGGTGCCCGGCTATCCCACTCTTTAAACCTCCTTCCAACCGGCCTGCCCTCCTTTTGACTTTGTTCCCCATTTTCTGCAGCAAATGGAACTCCTTCTGGTGAACAAACTTAAGTGGAACCTGGCCGCCATGACTCCCCACGATTTCATCGAACACTTCCTCTCCAAAATGCCAGAGGCGGATGAGAACAAGCAGATCATCCGCAAGCATGCGCAGACCTTTGTGGCCCTCTGTGCCACAGGTAGGGCCCCCACCCCCACTCTTCCCCAGGAGATCTCAGACTCCTTGCGGTTCCTTGGCTAATGCCTGTTTCCTTACTGTCTCTTCTGTACCATATGATGGTCTCAGGCATGTCTAGAAGGGGGTCCTTTCATCTCTGTTCTGAGCCCAGGGGCAGATAGCTTGTTGGGGATAGATGGTATTGGGGGCCACGATAAAGGGCCTTGGAGACCTAATCGAATGGCCCAGCTCCCTGTGCCAGGCTTTTCACTGCACGCTTTCTGAAAAGGTTTTTGCCTTGGTTCCTGGGCTGCCTGCCCCCACCTACCTTCTGTCCTGTCTGTGTCTTTAAGGGGCCCCATTTATGGGGGTGGGCTTGGGTTGGTAGAGTCCTGGGGGAGGGTTGGAAGGAGAGAGGCAAGGACCTCCACATAGCTTCTCTAGGGGACCCTCCCTAGCCCCAGACCACAGGTAGACAGGCTGACTGAACTCAGGGTGGGTGGACATGCTAGAATACACATACATAGACAGTCTGCTGCCTCTAGGTGGTCCTAGTACTACATCTGACAGCTGCTTCCCCATCTAACTGGGAGCCCTGCCCAGGAAGCTTAGAGATGCTGAGGGGGTCTTGTACTCTCTCTCTCACCTGCTTAGGACCCCTGCCCGCCCCCCAGGTGGCCCTGATCAAGCCTTAGTTGCTATATCTCTTAACTCAGGCTAGGTGGCTTGTAGGGCAGCCAAAAGGCAACATGGTGTAAGAGGGGCATGTAATGTCTTTTCCCACCTGCCATCTCTGGCACCTTCTGTTGTCCACCCTTGTGGATAGTGTTTCTGCTTAGCTGTGGTGGGTGTGAAGATTTTGGGATTCTAGCCTCCCAGCTACCTGCTGAGGGTGGCAGCCCCTCCCCAGAGGCCTACCAAGCAAGGGGGTGGCAGATGGGAGTGCCAAGGCCATCAGTAGCCTGGAAGGATGTAAGGGGCGGGGGCGGCCCTGCTGGCTGGCAGGCAGGGAGGCGTCTGGCTGGGGTTCCTCTGGGGAGAGCAGAGCCCTTGGAGGCTCCAGGAAGCCTTTTATGGAGCTGAAAGTGGCTTCAGAGAAGCTGCAGAGTTTCCCAGAGATAACATGAGGGATGGGGTGGCACAGCCTCCCCAGGATGGTTCTGGCAGCAAAGGGCCCCTCCCAGGACCCCTGAATGCCAGCAGGGAAGCCAACAAGTATTAATGCATTGTGAGTATGGCTGGACCCAGCTTACTGTATGGCCTTTTTCTATGATGGGTCCACTAAGAGCCCCCAAAAGACAAATGGAGATTGAGCACAACTTATTGAATTGCATACACCAATGTTCTAGGCCTGGAGGCTTTGTCCCCCTGAAGGAGTAACCAGCTCCTTAGAGGTCACATAGAGGTCACTCTGGAAAGAGGCCAGAGGTCAAGGCCAGCCAGGAAATGTGCCATCCATGTGGCAAGGTTACAGGAGATAGGAGGGTGTGACTTTTCTTCTCCCTTCTGGATACCCCCAGACCTGGGTCCTGACCTTGTGAGCAGTGCACTAACCTAGGGTTGGGGCTGGTCATACAGGCATGCACAGGTGGCCAGAGTGTACCCTTGTGTGGATTAGGACAAAAGGAAATTGAGCTAAATGAAGGGTGTTTGGTAAGTGTCAGTCATGCCACTGAACTGGGTGACAACTATGCCAGCAGCAGCCAGGCAGTGTGAGTAAGCAGATGTTAAGGTTCCTTATACTGCACATGAGAAGGGGACAGACAAGCACCAGAGGGGGCCACGTGCTAGCTGGTGGTTGGAGTTTCTCTGTCTCCTTGCAAAAGGGGCATCTGATTTGAACTTGTCTCCATAGCAAGCTCAGTTCACTGAACTGAGCTGAGTCCTTGGTGCCACCTGGAAGTATTGTCTCTCTTCTGCGTGGCTGCTCTTCTTCCGGGTCCCTTCCTGGTGCCTCCCGACCTTTAACAGAACCAAAGCTCTATGCTCTGTCAGGGTAGTCTCCAAAGGGCTGCCTCACCACCATAGCCCTCTCCCACTTGTGATTCTCATTAGTTTTCTTCAAGCCTCCCAGTTCCCAGGCACTGGGTGACCCAAGATGGGGAAGCTGACACCTGTTCTTTATTGTGTCCTCCTCTAGCCCGGAACCCCTGATCCACGGGCTTAAGTGTGTGGCTGTCCTTGTCACTGTTTCAGGAGAGCAGCTTGTGGGCTCATCTTTGGTAGTGGGGTTGGTGGGCAGGCCTTCATTCCGTCAGCCCGCCACACCACTCACTGCAGATACTGGGTGGAAGTCGGGTGACCCCCTGCTGCTGCAGTACTGTGGGGGGACATGACCCCACACATTTAACAGTGGGGCAGACTACAAAGCTGCCACCCCCTGGGGTTTGCTTTCTCCAGTTGGGGCTGTGCTGTGAGAGTCCCCAAGACTCGTGGGCGGGGCTTCCCTCACAAGGGACCCTGAATTGGAGTTCTGGGGTCCCATGTCTTTCTTCCCTAAGCTGGCATCAGTGAACCAGGAAAGCAGCTTGGAAAAGATGCAGGAGAACATTTTATAACTAGGGAAATGGCTTTGTGGAAGATCCTGGGAGTCAGTCCTCTGGGGGGAGCATCCCTTCTGTGACATCTAGCCTGGCCTCTGAGGGATCTGCTCCTATCACCCTTGCAGCTTACCGTTATCCTTCTATGACTTGGTGGCTCTGGAACACAGCAATCCCCTTGCCTCCATCTCTCAAGTACTGGGGATGCAGATGTAAAGCGTCACACCTGCCTCCAGGTTAAAGGGTTAATTAAGGGCCTGTACCTTCTTGAATTCTGTCCTTTGTCCTCTTCTTAAACTTTGAAGGAACAAAGGGGACATGACCAACTCTTCCTTGTTATTTGCTTGAGATGCTGGGGGGGTGGAACACAGGCCAGGATCAGCCGCTCAGCTTCTTAAAGTGAGACAAGACCTTGCCTTAAAGTGTCTGCACCCTGGCCTCCATGCTGGGGTTGAAGGCCTGTATCCCTATGTACATCTAGCGCCACCTAGCTGTTGCCAAAGGAGCTGGAGTTGATGCACGGATAGGGAGGTTTGGAGGACAGAGTGAGGCTGTACTGAGAATTGGGTGGGAGCTAAACCACAGGCCTGTGGCTCCTCTCTACTGCAGACGTGAAGTTCATTTCCAACCCGCCCTCCATGGTGGCTGCCGGGAGCGTGGTGGCTGCAATGCAAGGCCTGAACCTGGGCAGCCCCAACAACTACCTGTCCTGCTACCGCACAACGCACTTTCTTTCCAGAGTAATCAAGTGTGACCCGGTAAGTGAGTCATTGAAGGAGACTGCATCGGGGGCGGGGGGAGGGGGGACAGTGTCAAGACACTGTGTGACCAGGCCAGGGCTGTGAGGGTTGGAGCACTGGCCTCTGCAGCAAAGGGGAATCAAACCTAGCGCCCCCTCCCCACCAAGCCTCTTCCCAGGCTTGAGGTTTGGGGATCTTCCAGAAGCCATTGATCCTAAAGGAAGGGGGCAGGGGCGTAATGACACTGAGCAGTATGGCGGATGCTGCTTGGGGCTCTGGTCGTGAAGGTGTCCTCAAGGACATTGCAGGCTGGCATAGACAGGACAGACAAAAGTCCAATTCTGGCTTGGACTCAGCTGGGGGTTCAGTGTAGGTCAGAGCCAGTGGACTTCCATGTGTGACACACGATCTGCCCTGTCTGGCATCAGCCACAGGAACTCCCTATTCCTGTCTCATGGCATGGGGGCAGAGGTGACACTCTTCTTGCTTTCTAGTCCCTTGTGGCTCTCTCACTGCTCACTGGATTTGGGGATGACTCGGGGAGTTTCTTCGAGCCTTGCCCTTAGCAAAGCCTGCCTCGCAGGTCAAGGCCCTGGCCACTAGCCTCTGGCTAAACAAGGACCCCCTCCATCTCCGCCTGCCTCTCCAGGACTGCCTCCGCGCCTGCCAGGAACAGATTGAGGCCCTTCTGGAGTCCAGCCTGCGCCAGGCCCAGCAGAACATCAACCCCAAGGCCACCGAGGAAGAGGGAGAAGCAGAGGGAGAGACTGACCTGGCCTGCACACCCACCGATGTACGAGATGTGGACATCTGAGAGCCACCGGGCAGGCGGGTGCCACCAAGGAGTGGCAACCCGCGATGAGGAAGGAGCCAGCCCGGGGTGCTCCTAATGATGTCCCTCTTGGGGACATTTTGTTACCAGAAGGGGAAGTTTTGTTCTCTTTGTTGGTTGTTTTTCTTTAATCTTTCTCCTTTCTATGTGACTTAAGCAAAAGAGAAAAAATACCTGAAAGCTGTCTTAAAGAGAGAGAGAGAGAGAGAGAGAGAGAGAGAGAGAGAGATAGAATTTGCATCACCCTGAGTGTAGGGCAGAGGGGATGCTACCAAAATAGGATTTTATACCCCAGTAATCAACTAGTTTTTTATTAATGTGCTTGTCTGTTGTAAGAATAGGATTAACACACAGGAAGTCTACAGAAGGATTTTGATTTTATGTGTTTAAAAGGCTTAAGAAACATTGCTTTAAAAAAGAAGGAAAAAAAGGCAAATAGAGCAAACTTGTTGAAATAGAAGAGAGTTTTAGGTAGAGATGTACTCGCTTTGCTGAAAGGCACACCTCACTCCTGCTTGCTCAGTGCAGCCACTGCTAGTCACCTGTTTCCTGTGTTTTATCCCAGGGATGGGTAGACCTCTTCACCAGCAATGCGACCTCTAGTGGTCTCGAGATGTGTGGCACCCCCCCGGGCTCATCTGTGCCCTCTCCTAACCTGCAGGTTCATAGCATCAGCCACACAGCGGTAGGTGTCCCACTCTATGCAGTGTGCTCCAGTAGAGGGGATAAGATAGTGACATCATATATTCTATTTTTGTAACCTTCCTATTTTGTAGTTCCTGTTTAAAGAGACGCTGGTTTTTGCCTGGCGGCCCTGCAGCCCACTCACATCAGGTTAAACCCACAGCTTTTCTTTCGTGTGTGTGGTTCTGTTTTGTTGTGTTTTCCTTCTCCGTGTTCCAAATCATTCCATTTCAAAGCACTTTCGGTCAGCTAGCTGGAGGCAGTGTTGCTGGTATGTGTGTGAGGGGGGAGTTCCTGATGGAATGGTTGGAGGATATCCACACATTCATTCAGATGGCTGCACAGTGGGTGTGTGGCACAGTAGGGCTAGTAGCATGGGGTGCTTGGGAAGTTTTGTTGGGTCAAGAAGAGAGAGCTCTGTTCTTGCACCGCCAGGATCTGTCCTACAGAGGAGTTGAGTTTAAGGGATCCTTTGGTGCCAGCTAGTGTTTGGAAGTAGGAACTATGGTGGCGTTACCTGGACAGTGAGGAGATTCTGGATGACTTTTTTAAAGTCTTTCATACAGGAGGCTTTTAAACACTAAAATGTCTAATTTATACTTAAGGCTACAGAAGAGTATTTATTGGAAAGGTTGCCCATGGCCAGTGTGATTTTATAAAGCAATGTGATCTCCCTTGATTCAAACATACACCTTCTGCCCTTGCTGGTGAAGGTTTAGTGCCATGTTTGAGAGATTGGTCTTTTATGGGTAAGGGGGGCATTTTCAAAAACTACATAAAGACGGGCATTTGGTTTGCTTAACTTTCCAAACCCAAACGGCCCCATTGGAGAGCCATCCAAACTGAGGAAAACTGGGGGGTCCCAAATGAGTTGGATTCCGGCACATTCTTGCCGCTGCCACCCCTGTCCCCCACAACAGTAGGTAATTCGTATACCTGGTTCTGTGCTTTTCTATTTAGGAAGTGTTGAAGGGAGGCGGGAGAGGACGCGAGGGAAGAAGTGTGGAGGGTAGGGACCACATGGGACAGACTGCGGCTCCTGCTGCTACCGATGACGCCCCACATCCCAGACGTTCAGAACCAGACTTGTGTCGCTTTGTGTCTTTCACATTGTTTTCGCTGCTATTGGAGGGTCAGTTTTGTTTTGTTTTGTTTTGTTTTTTACAATGTCATAGACTGCCATGTTCAAGTTTTAATTTCCTCATAGAAGATTGTATTTACAGATGCCCTTTTTTTGTACTTTTTTTAAAAAATTGTGATCAATTTTGGCTTAATGTGATTACCGCTGTATTCCAAAAAAACAACAACAACAACAAAAAACCACCAGGTTCCTGTTCACAATACCTCATGTTTCACCTAGCCATGCACGGGCCTAGCAGGCAGGTGGTCTGCCTCCAGAGACTGGTCTGGTGGGATCATCCTCCTACACCTGTCATGCTGGGCCCTTCATTTGATCTGGGACATAGAGCATCACAGCAGTCGGGACAACTGTATTTTTCTTTGTTAATTATCAATATTGTTATTTTTGTAGCGGCCTGTTGTGCATGCCACCATGCTGCTGGGCCCGGAGGAATCAGTTCTGAGTCTCCGGTGCATCATTGATTCTGTTAGGTTCTAGTGTTCTGTCTTGTTTTGTGTTAATTACAGCATTGTGCTAATTTAAAGACTTCAGCCTTGGCAAAGCCAGCTCCAGTGCTGCAGGCCTCCAAATTCCCTAGCTAGCTGCCAAACCAAAATGGTCACCTCCACGGTCACCACCAGCCTAGCTGAGGCATCTGAACCGGGCAGGACCCTTGAGGCCCACTGTGTTCATGGTGATGGGTGAGGGTCTGGCCAAAAGGCCAAAGGCTGGTGGTGGGTCCACGGAGTCTGCCCTGTGACATGAAAGGCTTTGAAGGGGCTCTGGCTGGTGGCCAGGTTGGGTTTGTGTATTTCTGGTTGACATACCATGGCGCTTCCCAGCACGGACATGTGACCAGCGTGGTCCAGACTGTGGTGTCCAGAAAAAAAAAAAAAAAAAAAAAAAAAAAGACACAAAAAGTCTAGAAATAAAATTGGTAAAATCTCAGCTTAAGTGTTGCCTATATTTTCTGGGCCTTGGGGACAGGAGTGGGAGAAGTACCATCTTGATGCCATGGCCATGTGGGACCACCCTGTCCTCTACATCCCAGAGTGTTTGGCATCTCTGACCCTGGCACAAATCTGGGATTCCCAAAGGGAAGGATTTTGTAGGTAGCAGCTGACCAGGGTGGCAGCCTCTGGCGTCAGGGAGGCCAGCGGCAGCCACTGATCAGAAGCCGGCTCTGGGTCTGTCGCTGCCAACTTGACCTCCTGCTTATTTGCAGATGGAAGATCAACAGAGCCCGCGTTCACTGCCCCTCGTCTGGCGCAAATGGGTGTTTGCTCTGGGTGAATCACCATCCTTAGGTGCTGCCAAGCGCCCAGAGAGTGATACTTAGTGTTAGGGCCAAGGCCCAAGGCGGCCTTTCACACAGTTCCTGGGGACCTGAGTGGCCTGGCTGGACTCCTTTGATGTCCCCTGGGTGGCAGTTGCTCATGACTAGCGATGTTTCCCAACCCTGGGGGAATAGGTGATTGGACACTCCCTAGCACTGGGAGTCCTTTGCCATCACCTGGTACAGCCATTTGGGAGCCATCTGAAGACCTCAGTCTCCATTCTAAGGTATCATCTACAAGGTGGCCTCTTGGTCTCAGGTTGGCTGTGTCGGTGTCAGACTGGCCCCTGCCCTTCTAGAAGGTGGGGTATGTAGTTAACACCTGGCCTGAATGGTGACACCCCAAGTATGAAAGCAGAAAGGGACTTGGTGGGGAGGGAGGCAGATGTGACCCAAAGGCAGATGAAGCCCCTGCCAGGCTACCTGCCCCATGGGAGTTTTAGGGAACACCAGAGCCAAAGCAGACTCCAGTGTCCCCTCTGGTGGCTCATGAAGGCACAGATCCCATCTTGGGCAAGGCTGCCTGAGGGCAGGATCCAGAAAGGTATTTTGGCAGCCCAGCACCGTCAGAGGGCATCAACCTGTTACAGGGCTGGGGACCCAGGAACTGGCCGACCTCCTCTCCACACAGCCACACATCGTCCAGGAGAGTGGGCGTGGGGCCTTCGGCATTCCAGGAACAGGCCAAAGGGCATTGAGGTTGAAGAACTGCTTTCCCCTTGGATCTTAGAAACGCTGTGGAGCAAGTTTATCATGTTCAGGTGGCCTGATGGGAAGGACAGTGTGGGACAGACACAATAACATGCTGGGATGAAGCAGGCTGGCAGCAAGTGCAGCAGAGTGGTCCTAGGGATGCAGACACAAACAAAGTGTGTATGGGGCTGAGCATACACACTCAGAGAAAGGCAGGCTGCTGCTGCTGTTTCCACCAGTGTCTTATCAAGGGACACATCAAATGCAGAGGGCTCACACCATGATGCAATCTCTAAGGGTACAATTGGCTTGTCTCTTCATCTAGTGGTCTGTGGTGTCCAGTTATGGCTGATATCCTGACCTCTTTCATTGGCTCAGCAGTGTAACCCCAGATACCACTAGCCACTCCAGGTTCTGATTCTCCCTCCCCAACCATCCGACAGAGTTCCTCTGTTTGGAGGCTGTCCTGGCACTTACTCTGTAGACCAGGCTGGCCTCAAACTCACAGAGATCTGCCAGTCTCTGCCTCCTGAGTGTTGGGATTAAAGGCATATGCCTATGCTATCACCCAGGTTCTGATTCTAACCCTCAAATTTCACTGATAACACTAGAAGATAGATTCCCTGGTGGGATGTGTAGACACTCCTGTTCTTAGGGTGATAGTACAATAGCTTTTGAGGGCACTCAGAAACAAAGACTCAGGGAGCTAGCCCACCCAACTGTCTCTTCTCAGAGCACCAAAGGCCAATTCTCTCCATTCTCTGCCCCTAGCAGCTCCATGGATCCCTGCCAGGCTTTCTACATGCAGGGAGCCCCCATTCTGCTCAGCCATCCCAGCCTTCTCAGCCAGGCCAAGGTTCTTGAACCTGCATGGCCTCTGTGAGCCTGAGCTCCCCGAACCCTGAGGACTGCCCCCTGCTTCCCATTCTAGGTTACTTTACTGCCTGGAACTGCCTGAACCTTCATTTCTGCTTGTCCTACAGGGCTCAAAGTGCGTGTGGCCTCTGTGGAGCTTCTGCATCACGTTACACAGGTGTTTGTGTGGCCTCCTCTCCTGACTTCACATCCTAGGACTAAGTGTGAGGAAGTTAGCCTGCTGCCTGTAGGCCAGCCCAACTGCTGTACTTTGTCCTAGAAAGCAAGCCAACTTCACAACCCTTCAGAGTTATCTAGGCTCCTGAAGCCCACAAATACCAGCAGTAGGGGTTGAGGACTCCTGGGGTGGGACAGTAGGCAGAGAAGTAGGACTGTGTGTCCCTGCTGCAGTCCTCCCATGGCAGCCCAGGAGGCAGGCAATGCCTGTCAGGCTCCACAGGACTGGACCCTCTGTGTGTGGTAACACAGCTATGCAGACCACACAAGACCAGTGTTGGGAGCTGGCACTGCCAGGTGTGCTTGCCTGGCAAACCTGTACTCGGGCTGATATGACAGCCTATGTGTATCTGGTGTGGGGTGCACACCCTTGTTAACGTGAGGTGGACAGGCCTGTGTGCAAGGGGCCCACATGAACACAGCACAGTACTGATGGGATGCAGTACCCTTGGCTGAGCTGAGCTGGCCTCTCTTGCTCAGGGCTGTCATCCCAGGAATGTCTTTGATCAGACGGTTGTGCAAGAGGGCAAAGCAAGCACAGGACCTCTAATCCCTTCCCAGTCCCCTGGCCCACAGGGCCCCGCAGCCCAGAATCACACCACAGGGCCAGCAGACAATGCCTGGGGGTGGTGGGGATGGTGGGCAGGCAGCTCAGAGCTGCAGACCTTGGGGCCCACATTTGGGGGCACTGTTACTCACAGGGCACACAAGGATGGAGAGAGAGAATACAGAATGTTCTGCTGAAGGGGCTTTGGTGGGCCTTGAGCCTCTCAGACTGTGGCATCTATTATGCCTTAAAATTGTCTCTAAGAAACAGTTGAGACAGCCTGTCAGCTGGGAGCCACTTTAAAACTGAGAAGCCTCACCCTTGGGGTCATCTGTGTGGGGACTCCCAGCTCAGGGCTCAGGGCATCCTTCCTTCCCTTGTTCTGTCCCGAGTGGCTAGGCCAGGTCTCTAACAACTGGGCTTTTGGGGACACCTGCCTTAGTTCCTTTCCCTGTTGCTGTGATAAATACCAGATAAGTGCAACTTAAGGCGGGGGCAGTTTATCTGGCTCACAGGTGAAGGTATGGGCCATCATGGTGGGAAAGCATGGCAGCTGGAGCTCGAGGCAGCTGTTTGAATTGCATTCAAAGAGACACAAACACAGATGTTCAGCTTGCTTTCTCCTTTTTACTCAGTCCAGGATCCTAGCCCATTGGATGGTGCCTGCCACACCTAGAGTGACTATCCCCATCTCAATTAACCCAGTCAAGAGAATCCTTTAGGGGCTGAAGGGATGACTCAGTGGTTAAGAGCACTGGCTGCTCTGCTAGAAGACCCAGATTTGATTCCCAGCACACATGGCAGCTCACAACCATCTGTAATACTAGTCCAGGGGATCTGACACCTTCTTCTAACGTCTGTGGGCACCAGGCATATGCATGGTACATAGACATACATGTAGGCAAAACATGCATGCACATAAAATTAAAAAGAAAGAAATCTTGGCTGAATATTTAACATTTTTTTAGAGTTGGTCAAACATTTTGATTTTATAATGGTTAGTGCTAAAAGTGCCACTATACATAAATACATAGTATAAGAAAACAAAAGTGTGCTTAAGACCAGTTCAGAAACTGGTGGAGATTCTGTCCTAATCCCAAGACAAATTTTACTGAACAAAATTTTATGAAAATAAAGTCAGCTGGGCAGCTGTAGTGCATGCCTTTAATCCCAGCGCTTGGGAGACAGAGGCAGGAGGATCTCTGTAAATTCAAAGTCAGCCTGGTATACAGAGCAAGTTCCAGGACAGCCAAGGCTACACAGAGAAACCCTTGGGGGGGGGGGGGAGAAGGACTTTCAAAATCAGATTCTCCAACCCAATCCAGTTATTTTAACTTAACACATGCTGAGGCCTGACAGCATAACACACTAAAATAAGGAAGCCATCATGTCTCTGTGTGAGTATGAACACTGCAGTTCCAAAGACACTAGTCTGGATCCAAGGTGTTTCAGATGATGTGTATTGGCAGTGACAGAATGACTGAGTGAAGTAGAGTGCAGAACTGAGGCAGTAGTGATGTCATGGGACACTAAACAGGTGAGTGTTTCTAGAAAACACCCCTAGATTCAATCCATTAAGCATTTGATGTACTTTCTTTTACTTTTAGGCAGGATCTCACTATGTAGCTTTGAATGGCCTGGAAATCACTATGTAGACTAGACTGGCCTCAAATCTGCCTCCTGGGTGCTAGGATTAAAGGTGTGTGCCACCACTGCCCAGCGAAACACCTCATCCCAACACAGGGTTTCCCCCTTTTATCTTTATAAATTGCCGTTTGCCTATGGGCCACATCTGTCTCCTCTCTATCCAGAGACAGTCCTTTGGCCCTCTTGGGCAAATACCCCCACCCACTTGTTCCTTTCCCTCATCTTCTATCTCCTGTTTTTGTCTCTTATTCACTGCCCTTTGTCCCTTTGGGGCAAATAAATTTCCTTTGTGTTGATTTATTTATATATATTGGATTTTCAAAACAGGGTTTCTCTGTGTAGCCTGGCTGTCCTAGAACTCACTTTGTAGACCAGAGATCAGCCTGCCTCTGCCTCCCAAGTGCTGGGGTTTAAGGGGTGTGCCACCACTGTTCAGCAATAATCTATATTTTAAAAAAGTCCTAACACTAGCTTTGCATGGAAGAACTTCATTCTGTATTTAGCCTCAGACTGAAATAGGTCCCACAGTCACATAAAGGCTGCCTGTTAGGGGATTACAGTGTTCCTGCAGGCCTGAGGCCCTGTGTTTAGATACTTTTCTCATGGTTGCTGTGACAAAATACCCAAAAGAAGCAAGTTAAGGGAGGAAGAGAGTTTATTCTGTCCACAATTTATAAGGTGACAGTTATCACGGTGGGGAGGCATGGCAACTGGAGCCTGAGGCAGATGGTCAGGAAGCAAAGACATATGGATGCTGGTGCCCAGCTTGCTTTCTTCTTTATCTTTAGTCCAGAACTCCAGTTCATGGGACAGAACACACTCAGGGTGGGCCTTCCCTCCTCAGTAAGCCTCTCTGGAAACACTCTCACAGCCATGTACAGAGGTATGTCTCCCGAGTGATTGCAGATCCTGTCAGGCCCTGCCCTGTGACTGGAGATAAATCTGTAGATGACTAAAGGAGAATGACTGCAAACTTTTTTTATTTGTTTTTCCAGACAGGGTTTCTCTGTAGTTTTGGAGCCTGTCCTGGAACTCGCTCTGTAGACCAGGCTGTCCTCGAACTCACAGAGATCTGCCTGTCTCTGCCTCCCTAGTGCTGGAATTAAAGGCGTGCGCCACCACTACCTGGCCAACTGAGGGAGAATGAGATTACTGGTACAGTCCATGTTCAGCCAGGACACAGCTGTTCAGGAGATGCAGGCAACAAGCTCAGCAGAGAGCCTTGGGAGGAGCCAGCCCAGACACCTCTGCATCAGGCCTCCAGCCTCCAGTATGTGATACAGTGACTCATAAGGGATGACATCAAAGCTAAAGTCATAGGAAGGTCACTCTGCCAGAGAACCATCCAGAACATGGTGGGATGGGTGACAGAAAACAGTTCAGCAGTGGGGACACTTACAGTTCATAGCATATGGTCTGACAAGGCAGGGGATTGGCTAGCAGCTCAGTAGTGACATTAAAGACACAGGTTCCACTGGTGCCTGACTCTGCCACACTCAGGCACACCTTCACCACAGCTCCCTGCAGTTGTCTACAGCAGTTCCAAGTATCACCTACTTGGGATGGCATCTAGAAGTTAACAGCATCCTTCTCATGACTTACATCACCTTTTACAGCAGACACAATCATCTCAGTGGTGGGAAAAGGGGGCATGTCACATGGCAGAATGGTCCTCCACACTCTGTCTATACTGTGATCCAGAAGACCTTTTGGAGTGACCAAAGCATGTTGAGGACTGGATGGGGACCTTGGGAACACAGGAGGTATCAGGCAGGTGGCTGTGGCTCTGCTAATGGGTGGGAATTCCTAACACCTAACATGTACAAGGTGAGGGGAATGGGGGAAGAGACAAAGAGAGAAGAGAGAGCAAGGGGGCAGAGACAAGAGAGGAACACTACCTGTGGTATCAAATCCAAGGCAGAATGTGACAGGCATGGCAGGCCCACATCTCTGAACCAAGATCTTGCCACCTCAGCATCTTGGTCCTGGAGGACTGCAGCAGCTGTCAGTACAAGTGATCCCAGACATACATACCATCGCTTTAAAATACAATGTTTATTCTCTTCTCCAAATAGAAAAGGAAAATATGATCAAAACAGCAGCCACCATTCTCTGAGCTCAGAACCCAGAGAAGCACTCTGAAGAGCACCTGCTCCTGGGAGGAGCTGGGAGAATGGTGCAGGACTCCTGAGGCTGCTGCCAGGCTCAGGAAGCCAGGTGCATGGCATCCCAAGCCTCACGCACCAGCACCATCCCTCCCTCTAGCTCAGCTGGGCTGATGGAATGAAGGAAGAGCTCCAGCTGTACAGAGGTTCCTAATCTATCAAGTTGCTATGAAAAGATGTTAAAAACAGTGTCTTAGGGCCACAGGCCTGAGATTCCAGTCCTCTCAAAGGCTGAGGCAGGAGGATCACCCTTTAAGGCCAGCTTGGGCTATATACCGAGACTCTGTCTCTAAAAGAAAATTAAAATTAAAAAAAGAACCCAAAACTCCAAGTGGCACACATCCACAGTGACCCCTTCACATCATGCCTGAAATAGGGACAGTCAGGGACTGTCAGGGTACAATGGGGCCACCCAAAGGAGGGCATATCAATACATGCTGTCGTGAAATGCATGGGAGCACTGAGCCTACTCTTGCCAGCTCACCTTATACCAGCCTGTGAATACCATGCAAGACACTCAAGCTGCTGTTAAAGAAGTAGTGTCACACAGGCAAGCCCCTGCACGTTCACAGTGGCAACCATCATCTGGTCCTGCTTTGGTTCCCAGTAGTTCCCCCATTGCCACTTCTTAATGTGTAGGGCTCATCCCACACGTGGGGCAGCATGAAGGCCATGCCTCAGCTTCCTCGGGACCAGGTTGGCCTTGTCTTCTCAGCTGGGTATCCAGAGGCAAACCAAGCCAAATGGAGCCTGAACCCTACACACACTGCAGGAACCTGGGTCTTCTGCCGCAGAGGACAGGGTACCAATGGTGTAAGCAATGATGGCACTACAGAACATGGATCTGGGGTAGCAGGCAGCTCTGCTGCCAGGCAGGCCCCTTAGACTAGGTGGGTCTATTTCATTACCTCTAAAGTGGAATGATATCCACCTCTGGGGCTGCCAGAGAGATGGAGTGAAACAAAGGAAGCCCAAGTGCGGCCAGCAGGGGCTCAGCACACAGCAAAGAACCTGTTTGGCTTCCCATTAAACTCTTTCACATCAGCCTGCCTCTCTTGAGTCCTGCCCTCAGGGCAACCTACCCGGACCACTGGAGTGACAAAGACACTCACTCTGGCCAGCAGCAAGCAGTCTCTTGAGGGTACTGCCAGGACCCTGTGCAGAAGGCAGGGCAGACAGACCTCGGCCAGCCACCCAAGAAGAGGGAAGAGACCACACTGGTCCTCCCACAGAACAATGAGCACCACTCAGGCTCGCCTTTAATCACTCTGACACTTAATGTGCAGACATCTGCTCTTCTGAGTCCTCAAAACGCAAGTCCGGAGCCTTCTGCCGTCACCTTGAAATCTGGTTGCACATTGAGCAGTGAGCACAGCTGAAAGCACCCAAGAGATGGCGTCTCACCGACAGTGTCTCACACCTCCTGAACTCCTGCTCAGGTTGAGAACACACCTCTGCTAGCCCCACTTTTCCTATCCCAGCACTAGCCCACCGCAGTCATTCTACAAGGGGCAGGGGAATGAGTTCCTCTGGATGTACGCATGAGCGCACATGGCTCAACACAGCCATCACATGAACCCTAGGACCTGCGCCCACCCTGCCTTTATAACACACTCGGGCACACCCCAGACAGAGGCTATGGAGCACAAACCTGTCTGAATTTCCCTCTGATTCTGTCCAGGTCTTCATGGAGCCTCTCGTAAGTGGGGTCACCATAGGGGAAGTGTTGCAGCAGTGCAATCAGCGCCTCCACCACCTTCATCTTCCTACTGCGATGCACGGGGGAAAGGCTGTCACCCAGGGCAACTATAGGATCCATTCTACTGCATCTTCAGAGCAGTGGGCAGGCTAAGCACACCTCTCTGTTCTAAGTAGTTGCTGGCCACCTCCTGCTGCAGAGCAATCACTTACCAGAGGGCCCTTACTCCACCTGGGGAACAGCAGGCTGGAGCAAGGAAGACTGCAAAAGGATAGCAGCCAGGCTCGGCTGTGACTGCCATCCAGTGGTGGCATGAACAGCCAACATAATTGCTCCTGGATCAGCCTGACCAGTCACTACTAAAATCATGAAGTTAAGACCCCTTGCCTCCCACCTGCTCACACTAAAGAAACAAATAGAGAGCCAGGCATGATGACTCAAACCTTTAATCCTAGTACTCTAGAGTAGAGGCAGGAAGATCTCTTTGAGTTTGAGGCCAAACTGATCTAAATAATGAGTTCTAGACAGTGTGGACTAAATAGACCTTGTCTCAGATTTTAAAAAAAGAAGAAAAAACAATCCTGGGTAGTGGCAAATGCCTTTAATCCCAGCACTTGGAAGGCAGAGGCAGGCAGAGCTCTGTGAGTTCGAAGCCAGCCTGGTCTATAAAGTGAGTTCCAGGACAGTCAGGGCTGTTGCACAGAGAAACCTTATCTCGAAAAACCAAAAAGAAAAAGCCAATAAATTTTGTGATGGACAATCAGAAAGGGAATCCCAGAACCCTACAATTAGTCACAAACACCTTGCTCAGATAAAAGGGTGAGTCCCACAGGCAGGGAGCTGCATCCTTTTGGCCTGGTTTGCTAATACCCTCCCCCAGGCCCTCCTGGGCCAGGTCAGACAAGCTGGTATAGGAAGTCTGCACAGTGACAGCCTAACCCTATGCCTCTACACACAAGAATAATATGCCTTTCATTTCAGGGCTCCCTCCCAGCCTCTGGAACAAGGCAGATGGGGCAGCTCACAGGGCCAAAGCAGGCAGAACACACAAAGGCAAGGTACCAGAGCTAACACAGCTCAAAGAACAGTGACAATCACTAGAGGCTATGTGTACCAAAAAGGAATGCTTCAGGATGAATTCTGGATGTCTATGGTGGAACAAGTCTGTGAGCTCAGCATACAAGAGGCTGAGGCAGAAGAATGGCTGTGAGCTGAAGGCCAGTCTGAGCCACAGTGTGGAGCCCCCATCTCCAAAAAAAAATAATACTGTCTTTGGTTGGCTATGAGACAACATGGACAACAAAGTCAGCAGTTTTTTTTTCTGGTCCTAGCTGTCCTAGAATTCTCTATGTAGACCAGGATAGCCTTGAACTCACAGAGATCTGCCTATCTCTGCTGAGATTAAAGGTGTGCACTACACCTGGCAGAGCCAGCATTTCTGAGACCTCATTCCACTGACACTACTGCAGTCTGTTATCAGAAGCCCAAGTGAGAGATGGATAGGAAAATAGGATCCATCTGGCATTACCTGAGGTGTGACATCACCCAGAGTTCACCAAGTACCTATGAGGTGCCTGACACATTTTATTTATTTTTCTTTGAAAAACAACAGAGTTGGCCATTACTATTTTCAGTATGTACTAATGACACAGATAACTATGCACACATTGGGAACACTCAGAGCTCCTCCTGGCCTTTGCACTGATAGCATGCTGATGGCAGGTGGGAGGGAAAGGAAGTGGGAGGGAAAGGAGGTGGGAGGGAAAGGAGGAAGGGAGTCTCAGCCTTACCTGTCTTTCTCGCCAGTACTACTGTGTAGGAGACATTTCCATGCAAGAGCAAAACCACGGTAGCACCCAATCTGTGAATTGAGGGCGGTAAGCATTCAGCCACACCACACCAATTATCAAGATCTCAAAGCTCAGGGTCAGGCAAAGGGCTGTCACATTGCTTCTTGAGCTATTCTGGAACCTGTGAGTTTCAGGCAATGGAAACTGAATGGTGACAGCCCCAGTCAGGGAACCAGGCCAAGATGACATCAGTGATGCTCATCCTCTATATGCATGCTGTGTGCTGGCCCCTTGCCCCCCATCCAGGTTCGTGTACACGCAACAGAACAGAGGAAAGGAGAGCGCTCAGCTTCTGAGGACAAAGAGGAAGAAACAGTGTCTAGTTTGTTAGGTTGGGTAGAAAAGGCAATGCCGGGCTGGAGAGATAGCTCAGAGGTTAAGAGCACTGACTGCTCTTCCAAAGGTCCTGAGTTCAGCTCCCAGCAACCACATGGTGGCTCACAACCATCTGTAATGAGATCTGGTGCCCTCTTCTGGTGTGCATATATACATGGGAGCAGAATGTTGTATACATAATAAATAAATAAAATCTTTAAAAAAAAAAAAAAGAAAGAAAAGAAAAGGCAATGCTTCTTCTGCCTTGCTCTTACTGGCTACTTGCTCTGGGGTATCATAAGGACACCTGAGCAGAAGACAGCAGTTACATGGTGTGATATCTTGGGGAGAAACCCCTGGACTAGCCAAGCCTTCAGATGAGACTGGAGCCCTCCTGACACATGGCTCCTTACCTGCTGATCCTCAGATACTATATAGCATAACCAAAGATGATTATTTTAGGCCCATCAGTCTGTAGGACCTACTTTGTGGCATCAGGTATCTGACACTGTCATGACCTCCTCTGCCAGTCAGGGTCAGTGATCTGGAAGAGGTGGCTAAGCAAGGAAAAAGGCAAGGGGAGAAAAACTGTGGGGCTTATGGAATTTCACTGTAAACATGGCACCCTTCTGGGTGAGGACTAAGCTGGCTGAAGAAAGGAGACAGAGCTGTGATCTCCCATACTTTGGTGGTTCTGTGCTAAGACTGACTTTTCTGTCTGGTCTATGAATCCCCACCAAAGGCCTTGCAGTAGGAAGAGATTAGATGCTCTGGCATCAACAGCAAAGGAAACAACTGTAGAGGAGAAAAGGATCCTTGTCTTTGCTCTTTTCCTCTAGGTTACTGGCTTTCAACCTGTGGATTTCCACCCTTTGGGAGTCACATGTCAGATATCCTGCATATCAGAAATTTATATTATGATTCTTAAGAGTAGCAAAATTACAGTTATAAAGTAGCAATGAAATAGTTGTATAGTTAAGGGTCACCACAACATGAGGAACTATATTATAGGGTGTCAACATTAGGAAGGTTGAGAACCACTGCTCTAGGCAATGTTTCAAAGCCACGGCCTTATCCGTGCTGGGTGCATGCTCTGCCACTGAGCTACTTCACCTATCTCACTATCTAGCCCAGGCCGGCCTAGAACTCCTGCTCAGCTTGCGGAGTGCTGGGATCTCAGGATGGATCACCACACTCATCTGTCAAGTGACTTCTAAGTGGTCCTTCCACTTACCTCAGATCCAATTTTGGCTCCATGTAATGTGCCATACTGCCTTCCTTCAACGATTCCCAAGCTACTGCCTTCTTCATAGCCTTCCTGATATCCTTCCCCATGGAATCTGTGATAGAGAAACACACTTTATCAGGTAAGACATTGTTTTTTGAAAAATCTTCCTACATTCTATTACCTAGGTCCTAGGACCTAGCAGACTATAGGAGGAAAAGCTTAAAACTCAAGTCACAAAGTATGGGTTCTGGGTCTAGCTCTTCTACTCCCTGGCCCATTACTGTGCCCCCACCCCATTTTTGAGACGGGACCTCACTATGTAGCCCAGGCTGATCTCCATCAAGCAACTCTGCCTCCATTTCTTAAATGCTGAGATTACAGGTGTGTGCCACTACCTCCGTGTGAAACCATGATGCTTATGGGCTTCATGCATATGGAAAATACTCTGCCACCTGAGCTACAGCCCAACCCCTAGAGACCCAAGTTCCTTCATCTGTAACTGTGGGTGGGCTACATGAGTATCTTCCAAACCCGGCAGAGCACAAGAATCCACAAGGAAAATATAAAGATAACTCAAGCAAGCCTGGGACACACTAGAAAACCAAAACAGGGTCGCTGCAGCTGAGCCTACATGCCACCGCAACTAAAGTCATCTGTTCCTAAACACTCCAAGGACCCGGAACTCGTCACCACATCTCTGTACAGAGTAACAGAAAATGTCCCTAAGATCATCACAGTATGCCACCATCGCGATGCTCTGAATAGAAGGGTACTGTCTCTGAGTTATCAACCCGAAAACTGGCAGTAACTTGCAGGCTGCACTGTGGAAGGAATGCTCTGGAAGCCCCCGTGAGGAGTGACCAGCTCCCTACTTGGCAGGTGGGTGGCCTGGGGAGCGCCTGTGCCTACGCATATGTCAGGATCCCACTCCCTAAGCAGAGCTCGAGCAGCCGGCCGGGAAAGGTCAAGATGCCCTGGGCCACTGCCCCGCCCAGGCGTTTCCCCCGGGAACTTTTCCAATCCAAAGGGGCCTGCCCGACACATCCATCAGCAGGTCATGAATACTGCCGTATGTGCGGCAATTAAAGAACAAGAAGATGTGGCAGCTCGCAGATGGAGAAGGCGGGTGTCCCCGAGGACAGCGGGGCTCCGCCGAGCAGCTGAAGGGGCGGGGCGGAACCGGGCCGCTGCCTACCTCTCATCCGCCATCACGACGGCGTCGAACATGTCCTGTTCCACGGCCATGGCCGAGGCCCGGCTCTCTCCCGGACCTGGCACTCCTGCCATTCTGTGTAGTAGTCGGCAAGGCGCGGCGACAAACGCCCAGCTTGTCAGACGGAGGAAACCACTTCCGTGAATGCCGCGCGGAGCACGGCGGGTAAGAACGGCAAGCGAAAGAAGCCAAAAAAAAAAACCCAAAAAATCCTTACCGCGCATGGGTAGATGCTGCAGTGGATGGGGGCTGGTCCAAACAAAGTCCCGCTGCTCCCTCTCCTCTGTGGGTGGGGCGAGTCGGGCCCTGCAAGGATTGTCCGCTGTGCGGCGCGCGGGGCCCAGGAGAACTCTGCTTTTATTTTCAAAACCCAAACAGATGGGATCGAATTCACAAACGTAGTTCATAAGGAAATGAGAAAAATTACCAAAGATCTAGCACAGGGGCATTCCCATGAAGTGAAGAAAGGGCCCCAGCTGCAAGCCGCACGGACGGAGGTGGAGCATCCAGCATCCTCAGCTGCCATCCGGCTGTCAATCACTGCATCTGCACACACAGGAGCCTTATCTGCGAGCTGGAACCGATTTGATACTGCGACATCCTAAAGGGCAGATAATAAATACTTCCCCCAGCCAGGAAAATTCCTTGAGGGGCCTTTGAAAATGAAAAAGGTTGTGTGTGCCAGTTACCTTGTTTTTTTTTGGTCTTTTTTGTTATTTTGTCTTTTTTTTTTTTTTTTTTTTTTTTTTCCAGGGCTGAGGACCGAACCCAGGGCCTTGCGCTTGCTAGGCAAGCGCTCTACCACTGAGCTAAATCCCCAACCCCGAAAGCTAGCTCTTGCTGCCAGTATTTAAAGCAAAACTGAAGTATTTCATACACAGTCAAGTATCAGGTGGTACCGAAGGGCTTGCCAGCAGGAGGAGCCACTCTGTCCAGGCGCTCCCATCCCATAGGCACCCACTCTCCAAAAAGCAGGAATTGAAGTTAATTCTCTCTTCATTTCCATCAGAGATACCTTCCAAAGTAGAACATTAAAGGGTATTTCAGACTGTCAAGAAGGAGATCTGAGATTCCAGGAGCTCTCGCGTGTAAATAAATCAGGGAAAGACAAGAAAATTCTTATCATGCAAGATTATGCACCAAGGGGACAAGGGTGCCACTATCACAGATGTGGAACCCACCATGACAGCCAAATAGACATCTAAAATAGCAATGGACAGGATCTACCAGCCATAGCCTGAACCAGACTGCCGATGGAAATGAGGCCTTGTGGGAGCCACAGTAAGTTTCTTAGACCACAATTACTAACAAGTTAAATAGTCTCTCTGTGAAGGAGACCAGAGATACACCATTATTCTGGGTCAGAGGGCTGAACAAGTGAACAATGGCAACAAAACTCCATGGGATTCGGAAGCTGCCTCCAGGTCTGAATTTCATCTGTGCAAATAAATCCTTAACTATAACGAGGTGTTTTTTTTTTTTTTTTTAATAAGAACTACCATGTCAGATACAAAAAAAAAAAAAAAAAAAAAAAAAAAAAAAAAAAAAAAAAAGCTTAAGCCTCATGATGTGTAACACAGCATGATGTTGGTTGGAGAAGAGATAAGCCTTGGGAATATACTAGAAGGGCCCAAGGGTGAAGTCTCCTAGGAGTAAAGCTCCACATTGATAAAAGTAGAATTACAAACTCAGGAAGAATGGGAGCATTAGCCACTAACCATGTTGGGAATGCACTGGTATCTCAGGAAAAGCAAGTCCTGTGTATACCTCACATCACTCATCAGAATAAAGAAAAAGGATGCCAGGCAGTGGTGGCATCCTTTAATCCCAGCACTTGGTAGATTTCTGTGAGTTCAAAGCCAGTCTGGTCTACAAATGTGAGTTCCTGGACAGCCAGGACTGTTACACAGAGAAACCTTTCAAAATATCAAAAGGAAAAAGAAAAAGAAAATGGCTTTCAAGAGTACTAGCTGGAGCATCCCACAGTAGAAGACATACTTTTCAGTGGGTGTGGTGAGTTTGAAATAGGATCCTCTATATGCCAGGCTGGTCCCAAACTCTCTATATAACTAAGGCTGGTTTTGAACACTTCTGCCTCCACCTCCTGAATGGCGAGATGGGTGGACAGCCAAGCAGCACTCAATAAACTCTTGATGCATGATACCCTGATACCCTGGGGTTGTTGAAGAGACTGAACACATCCTCTGCCTGACTTGGGCTGGAATGACAGGCCTGCATGCCACTGGCCCAGCTTTGAGATGTTACTTTAAACAACAAAAAATAACAGCGTATTTCATGGTGGGAAAATCAACCTATTTTAACTGGTGAAGCATAGCTCCTTTAGGTTCAGAGTGTGCTAAACAGAGTTAAACACCAAACAAGATGAGGATGTGTTTGTCCTTTGTGTTACAGTTAAAGCAATGATACCTATGCTTGCTAAAGAAGTTAAGAAACCAAAAAAATAAAACAAACAAAGAAAAAAAAACAAACACAGATGCCAACAAGCTGGGCATGGTGGCCCACGCCTTTAATCCCAGCTCTTGGAAAGCAGAGGCAGGCAGATCTCTGTGAGTTTGAGGCCAGCCTGATCTTCAAAGTGCATTCCAGGAGAGCCAGGGTGGTTACAGGGAAACCCTGTCTCAGGGAGGGGAAAAAAGTTTTTTAAAAATGCATACAAAATAGATTCATCCTAGAAGCAGGCATGGAGGCTTCCACTAGTCATCCCAGCATGTAGGAAGCTGAGGCAAGAGAACTTTCATGAGTTCAAGGCCAGCCTGGCCTACAGAGTGCATTCCAGACTGGCCTGGGCAAAAGAATAAAACTATATCTCAAAAAATTGTTTAGCAATAGATAAATGAATAAATTCATCCTAAGAGGGTAAAATAACGGGCCTTTTGTGAGTCACAGAACTGAGCAATAAGTGTCTGGCCTTTAAATGGGGGAAAGTCTTAGGAGGAACAGAAGGATGTGGGAAGGAGCAGCCAGAGGCAGCATCTCCTTCCAAGATTTTTTTTTTTTTTTGGTTTTTCAAGACAGGGTTTCTCTGTGGCTTCAGAGGCTGTCCTGGAACTAGCTCTTGTAGACCTAGCTCTTGGTAGAGTTAAAGGGAACTTACATTGTTCATGGGTATATCAATTTGCGCTGCCTTTTGGTCAGATGGTTCAAAAAGATAGGAATGTCATTTGAATACTCTGTCCCCTTTGACATGGTTGTTTCACTTTTTTGGACTTTTGTCTCAGGGAAGCAGTTAGAGAAGAGTGGAGATTCTACATCCTATCATGAGTACTGTGGTAAGACTTACAAAACTGAGTTGGGTTTGGTGACAGACACAGAGAACAGCACACTCAGGCCCCTCAGAGACTCACTTAAAGTTAACACAAGAAAAATGACAAAATGTCAACTGTGGCCTGATTGTGATTTTGGAATCCTGGTGACCTTTGGACTTCTTCCTTTGTGTTCCTGGAACATCCATGGTTGTACAGAATAAATCAATAAATCTGTACATTAAAAAAATCCTAATGACATATATATTTTGAAAGTGGAATGAAATAGGTTCTCGGCTATTTCCTAAATGCCTTTTACATTTTTACTGTTTTCTCAACCAAATAAAGTCACCAAACACCTGTAATGCAGATAGTGGGAAACAAGCAAGCGAAATAAAGTATTTCTCCAGCTCCCTGATTGCCAAATTCTTTCTGCTAGTATTTCCCCCCTGATTTTCCCCATAAATTTATAGCCCCCCCTCTCAAAATGTACACAGGATTGTGCTTTCAACATATCTCCAAGACAATGCACTGATTATTGTGTGCATTTTCTGAGCATAAAAATTATTAGCTGGAGTCCGGTGGTTGTGTTAGAGGAGGAGGAAGAGGGGTAGAAGGGGAAGGAGGACTACTTACAGATAAAGCCTGAGGCTAGGGGCCTCCCGAAGACTGTAACTTACTGTCATTCTTTTATATAATTCTGCAAAGTGTGGAGAAATAATATATAGCACAAAACTCCAAACTATGGGTTCTGGCTCTTAGTTTAGAACATGGCTTTGGTGAGACTCACCCTTGCTCACCTATGTTTCGAATCTAGCTTGTCCCAACATCAGAAGCAAAGAGACCCATTATGCTGACTTGAATTTTCAGTAAGGTCCAGACTTTAAAAATGGGACCTTAAAAGCAAAGGGGGGGGGATGGGGGTGTGGTTTGGTGGCAGAGCACTTGCCTAGTATCCAAAAGGCCCTGGGTTCAAGGCCCAGTTCAGCCAAAGGAGCTTCCAATGAGCCACAGGTGGTAACATTTTTTAAAGTACAAATATTATTGCTTTCAAAATTCTTGCATAAGTTTCTAATTCAATGTTCATTTCAGTCACTGAACATATTAAAACTGTGTGGCGAGAAATCTGAAACATTCTTGCTAATGTCTGTTTTTGGAGGAACCAATTGTGACAGCACTTCTGTAACATGGGAGAATTACAGCCCAGATGATAACGCTGGACAGATGACATGAGAATGACTGGGAGGGGTCAATGACAGACCTACAAAGCACATTTTCAGGTGTCTGGAGAGCTGTGTGAATTCTATTTAGGCCAGTAGTTTTAAAATACTCTGTTGGACTAAGGATATGGCTCAGTGGCAGGGCATTTACCTACCATCCATAAGGTTCCTGGTTCAATTCCCAGTTTTACTAGCATAGAATTATTATTATTTCATTTTTAACAAAATGTACAAAGGGGATAGCAAATCAGCTTCCAGAAAGCCAATATACTAAGACTAAACACTGTTTTTTTTTTTTTTTTAAGGGTCAAGTCTCACATATTCTTCTTCAGGGTTAGAGAAAAGCAAAGACAATCCAACCCAAGTAAAAAGCAACTTCCTCCAAATTCAATGAAATGAACTCACTGTTGTAACTGATATTTGTTGTTGTTTTCTAAGTTATTTGTCTGTTTGTTAGTTTGCTTTGAGGCAAAGTCTTTGTTGCCCAGACTGGCCTCAAAATCAGGGCAATTCTCCTGCCTCAGTTTCTGGAGTGTTGAGGTTACAGGTGTGAGAATTGTGAGTGGTTTAGCAGTTGATTTTTTTTTTAATGTTATATCTAGCCAGGCGGTGGTGGCGCACGCCTTTAGTCCCAGCACCTGGAGGCAGAGGCAGACAGCATGTGAATTTGAGGCCAGCAT